GAAGTTGTATAAATTACCTAACCCAACTTCTCAGACTTTAAATGAGAAAGATATCAAATATTAAAGAGAATTAACACTATGATGTGGCAGCATTCTAAAATGTAAAATCCTAATGTAAAATCCAAGCAATTTCCTTTGTAGATGAAAAAAAGTTGCAAAATGTACAATTATATCAAACCCATCCAATAACAATATAACTATAATAAGTATTTTTACTTTACATATTGGCCCAATAGAATATTTGTTTATTGGATGCCTTATTATATGCAGGCACTGTGCTAATTGCTAGGTCCAGAGATGATGATGTAAAGAAATATTTATGCAACAATGTGATATTCAGAGAACTGTACTACTTTCATTATTCCAGCAACCTTGTTACTCTTGAAACCAAATTCATAATTTGTTGAACTAGTTAGACAGTTATGGTTGGGAATGTGGTCAAAGTTATTGAAATGAATAAAGTTATGTGACCCATAAAATTCTTATAATGGCATTGTTTTATGGAAACATCACACTGTATTCAACTGGTTAACAGCACAGATAAATCTCCAAACTTAGACTGTTGTTACTATAAGGTTGTCTTTATAGATTTGTGAGCAAATTGTCCTCATTAACCACCAAGAATGTGACTGCTTTGGTTTCTATTGTTTGTATACTTCGTAGGGTCTTAGAAGTATTTAAAGAATTCTGAAAATCATATCCAATGACAAATGGTTGAAAGACAAAAGTTTGACTTTAGAATTCCTCTCCCAGAAAAGATGTGTTTATAATTCTGTTGAAAGGGGGTAGAAGGAGAGAGAGCAAGGCTCAGCCCAAATTGGATTTATAGGAGGCAGAGAGCTATTTAAGGGAATGAGATGCCTGAATTATCAAGAGGTTCTGCAATGCTGATTAGGTGCAACCCACCAAAAAGGTGATAGAGCTAGAAAAGAGGCAATTATAGAAGAAAAAGCATGTCACCAGACCACTGTAGCAGGTTTTAAAGTGCTAAGCATTTAAACAAAAAGGAAAATGAGGCTTTGAAGTGGAACACTTGTGGAGGATGCAACCCAGGACCAAGGGCTGGAAATTATTACAAGAAGATAGAATTGCTTTTAATGTTAGGAAGAACTCTCCAATAGAACTGCTCAAAAATGGAGGTAGTGAGATCTTATCCCCTGAAAGCACTAAATTAGAAATTGCAAAAAATACAATCATTCATGGATGTTTTATAATTCAGAGGGACCTTCTATACCAGGTTGAAAGCTATATTAGATGCTAAGGTTATTTTGGTTATTTTGAAGTTTCAATATGGGCTATGATTTAGAAGAGTTATCTTTTGATGTAACAGTATCATCCTCTGATTATATCCCTATTTAAATATTAAATTTGATTAAGCATCAGTGTCATCAAATATAATTATTTATAAATAGATTTTTAAGATACAAAGACATTCTTTTAAATCACACAATCTTTAACTAGAATCATTACATTTAGCTATATAGGTACACTTGCAGTGAAATAACAATAATTCAAAAGCAAATTTTAGGTACTGGTCTTTCAATTTCTAGTTGCTGTAAAACAAATTTGCAACTATGGTGGACAGAAGAAAAATCCTTATTAGCAGCTTACCAAAAATGTCAGCACCATTTACAAACTTTTCCTGAGTAATTAAAAAAAAAAGGGACAAATTTCCTTAAATAAGAATGCTCCTGAAATGATGTGATTTTAAGACTCAAGTCCTATTTAATTCTTAAGTATGCAGAACCATTGAAATCAAGTTACAAAAATGCTGACTAAATTGGAGGAGGAAGCAATTAGTCATATGTCAGAAAACCATTAAGATAAAAATGTGCATATAAATAGAATGTAGAAATCTTTGGTTGTGCACTCCTATGTAGGAATTTATTAGACTAATCATCTGCCACAGTTTTTGATAATTTGTCTTATTATAAATATGGCTTTATAAAGTGGAGTAAAGTTGCTTCTTATGTACAGATATGTTTCCCTTCAAGTTCTAGCCTTTGTTTTTAGGTTGCCCTCTAGAGCTGCCTATTGGAAGACATTTTTGAGTCTTACAAATTCAATTCTAAATATAAGAAAAGATGCTCCAAACACTGGACACAATTAAACTGATAATGATGACCTAAAAGTAACATTATATAGTCAACAATATATTTAATTATTACATTATATTTATTGCTTCCAAATCTCAAAATACAAACAAATGCTTCCCTCTATACTTGATTCTGATTCCCAAATTGTGTGACTTGAGCTAGGTATACTGAACTCATATTCAATTGCTCTTCTTGGTATCTGAGAACAATGGAATTATGTTGAGGATGTAGTGATGAAGACTTCTTTCCATCCCCAAACTAGAGTTGAGTGTTATGCAAAATACTTAATTTTTATTATTCAAATGTTCTTCATGTGCTCAGTCTCCCAGGTAACAGATAAACAAAAGGTGCTCCACATTTTAAATCAAGTTTGAAGATCACTGTAGGAATATCCATTAAGTTTATTTCACAAAATGTTAAATTTAATCTTTTTTATATTTAATAATGAATGCCATATACCTACTTTTAATTTTAGAAAATATTACAATATTAAAAAAATATTTGCACACATAATCCAAATGTAATGGAGCAAGACAAATAATAAAGCATTATAAATGTTAGAGAGAAATTTTCCACAAGACTGAAAGTAATCTGGATAACGAGCACAATCATTTTTTCTCTTACACTGTGGCAGTAGCTGAAGGACGACAATAAAAAGAAATCAGACTTTAAAGAAAAAAAATAATACCTAAGGAAGAGGCCATTGATAAAAGATTTATTCCCTCTTCCCTAACCTTACAAGAAGGAAAAATAGCTTCTTCTGGGGGTAATGAGAATAAACTTGAGAGATCACTGAAACTTGCATGTCAGAGATCCAGAATGGAGGGTAAGACCAGAATCACACACACACACACACACACACTGGGACACTGGGTTCTTGAGGATTTTGAACACACAGAACCAGAGCAGACAGATAAAATTAAAGTGCTATCTCATAAGAAGATGCAAAATTAGAACAAGATCAACTATTAAGAGGGCCAAGCCTAGCACAGATTGCTATGGTGTCAAGGAAAAAAACAAACAGTAATTAAAGGAAGAGTTTGGGGATTGTAACTAGAGAGTACATTTCTTGCAGCCATAAATGACGAGGATCACTCAGGTGTAGATGTAAAGGAATGGCAGCATGGGAAAAGGATTAACAAGTTACCTGCAGCGATTGTAGAAACTAAGGCAGAAAGCCTTATGCATTAAAAAATATATTAAACCAAATGCAGAGGAAGCCACCTAAGCCTTGATTACAAGGATATTTCCAGAAACATTACCATTAATCAGTGTGCAATGAGAAGAACGATAGAAATCAAGGTGATACAATAATGAAACAAGATCAGGAAGAAACTCCATTTTGATTTAGTTTCTCCTTTCTGGAAAAGATGAATAATTCCTAGAGTCAGAGATTAAAACAGTATTTTAAATATACTTTATTTCTATATGCTTAAATTAACAGTTCAATAAATCAGCATATGTATAGGTCACCCACTGTTAATTTGTTTTCAAACACACACACACACACACACACACACACACACACACCCAGGAAAAGGGAGGGAGGAGTGGAGAGTGCAGAGTCCACAAAGGCAGGGAGAAAGGCCGCCAATTCTATAGAATACTTTATAGAAAACTGTCATCTGATTAGGGACAGTCCCTGATTTTATAATTGCATGATAATGTAGTCGAATAGCCTGTTCTACTTTGAAAAATATATTTGAAACTTCTGATTGTATACATTTATATGGTAAAATAAAAGGACCTTCACCTAGGTATATTTCCACTTTAGAACATACTCCTAAAGAATATGTACATTTACAACACAGATTAACATTTACTACAGAGTGGGTAACTACATTTGATTCCAGAGAAATCCAATCTGCACATCACCTAAGCTGTAAATAGGGGCTTTAAAACCTAAAATGCTTAAATCTTGTAAACTGATTAAAGAAACATACCTTTTGCAAAGCAGAATCATCCTAGCTGAGAATAAGGATGATTAGTACCCTTCCAATGTTTGGGTTAAAGGTGATTAAACATCTAAACAGATGTTGGTTGTAATTACTACTATCAATACCAGAAACCCAGTAATTTGTTTTAAATTTTGAAAATAATTCACTATGGATAATTTACTAAAGTAGTAAACCAACACCCTGCTTTAAAGTCAGTATATATCATCACAGAAAACTGACATGGTACTAATTTAAATGCTGAATGAAATTCCTAATTGCAGGACAAATTTGGACATTCAATAGTGTAAGAATTGCAATAATGATCTGCCTATCTAGAGGTCGGATTTCCTATATCCTCAGTTATGCTGGAGCCTGGCAATAATATAGAAAAGGTGTTTTAGCATTTCCATCATCCAAGAATGCAAGAATGTCACTCAAATGGGTTACATGTTAAGTTAAATTCAGGTTAGTGTAACTTAGAACTAATAATTAAATCAAGAATGTTAATTTACTTAGCTTGAGCCAGAAAATAAGAGATATATGAGACATAAAGCCAGCTAACACTGAGAATTAATAGAAACAGCAATTTTAAAAACATTTCAGTAACTGCTGGTAGCATTATGAAATTATAACATGGTCCATTGCACACTTAATGAAGAGTTAAATCATCAAAAAAGTCAAATTATTTTAAAAAGTTAAACCAGTCCTGGCCTGTTTGGCTCAGTGGTTAGAATGTCAGACTGCAGACCAAAGGGTCACGGGTTCAATTCCCGGTCAATGGCATGTACCTGGGTTGCAGATTCAATCCCCAGCCCCAGCTAGGGTTGTGTGGGAGGCAACCAATCAATGTGTCTCTCTTACATTGATGTTTCTCTCTCTCTTCTCTCCCCCTCTCTCCCTTCCACTCTATCTCAAAATCAATGGGAAATATCCTCGGATGAGGATTAAAAAAAAAAACAGGAAAAAAAAAAGTTAAACTGTGTTTAGTTTATAGTTTAGAAGTCCGGGGAAACACAGCATTTTAGAAAAATTTCTTACAAAATAATGATGAAAGAAAATAAGTATTTAAAAGAAGCTAACCATGATCAGAAAGGATAGGAATTCAACAACTCTTCTACCTATAGTAATAAGGTAGGATTCTCACCTTTCTAATTTATGTTTCACTTCATATAATATAGAATATACATAATTCATTTTTACTACTTAAATAGACGTCTCCCATTTACATAGTACAAAGCTGTGAACTTTGATTTGTTTTTACTAGTCTCTCATGAATAAAGTACTTTAAAAATTAAAACATTAAGGTCTATGAGTTTTATTTACATATGAACATACCAAGTATTCTGGATTCCCCAAGATTAAATTATATTCAGTATACTTTTTGGTAAAATGTATTTTGTATTTTAAGCTTCTGGGAACTGCTAATCCTTACATAGTAATTCTCTAATAGAAGGTACATTTTAATTTATTAAGATGTAAAGACCTTTTTACCAACTGCTAACGTTAACAAATTTACTGTAAGTTTCTAGAACTGGAATAGTTTTACAATGTCTAAGCACAAACTACTTTTAGAAATGACTAGAAAACCATGGGTCCCTGTATTTATTAAATTGAATCACCTGGCAGTAAAATTCGGTTAAGGCCTTCGGCATTGGTGAAACTTCTTCCCACTCAGACCTGCTGCTGTGGTAGACCTGCACTTCATCTGTGATTTCATCTGGTGCATAATCACCACCTAATATATAAATTTTATCTTCAATTCCAACTGCACCTGCATTAAAGCCTGCACATTCAAAAGATCCTTCACCCTTCCAGACACTAGTGTCTGGACAAAAACTATAAACCTTATAGGTGGAAAGGTCACATATATACAGTGTGCAGTTTACTGGGACAGCTTTAATTAGTGTGGCATGAAAAAACTGCCCAAACTCTGCTACTAATTCAGACCACTGGTCAGTTGTAGCGTTGTATCTAAAAAAGCAATCAAGTGACGGGTTAAAGGCATCTGTAATCTCTACCTCTGATCCAAGAACATAAATTACATTTTGGCATGCACTTGCTTCAGGATAGTATATGCCCCTGGGTAATGGGCTAACAGACATCCATTCTTTGGAAAGAGGGTTGTAAGATTCAACATCTAAGAGACTTTTAATATCCTGAGATCCTGTAGTCTTTCCACCTATGACAAACAATCGATTAAGAGCCATAACTGAAGTATGCATGGTTCTTGGTGTTTTCATAGTCGATACCAGGAAGAAATCATTTTTGACTGGACAGTAGCACCAGGTTTTGTCGGTGGCATCGTGATAAGACTCTGCAATATGAAGCCGAACCGTTCTACAACATGGCCCTTTGCAACCACCTGTCAAGAATATTTTTTCTCCGTAACTTGCCAGACTAGATCCGGGCAAATCAAGCAAGTGTGACTGTGGCAGTATTTTCCACGAATCAGTTTTAATATTATAGCAAAATGTATATTGATTTTCTCCATTTTCCTCAGTTTTGTGAACAAATATGTATTTTTCAGTTGTGGATGGTCGAGCATCAGGAAAAAGTCCACCAGAGCCTTGCACACATTTAACTGCATCCATGACTACGTCAAAACAGTTGGTGCTTTTGAGTAAGCACTCTTCACTGAGAAGACAGTCTTGAAGTGTCTCCTCAGGTAACTGATGTAATCTTACCTTTTTAATCAAATAAGGTAGATGCTTTTGCCTTGCTTCTAAGTTATATTTAGTCCAATTGAGGACGACTTTCAGTACAGTTTCTTCTTCAGGAACATCTAATTCATCTGATTCCAGACATTTCTGTAGTATTCCAAAGTTCATCTCTAAGAAATCACTGGATTTAAATAACAAAGAAAAGTGGTGCTGTACAAAGTATAATGCATGGTCAAACAAACGGGAAGAGCCATAGCTATCCGATATAGATAATAACTGTAAACAATTGACAATATTAATACTTTTTATTAAAAAGTCACTGCAAGCTTTGGCTAGGAAGGAAACTTGAAGAAATGATGACAACTGAAAGAACATTTCCACATTATCATCTGTTATCTTTGTTTTTCCAGTATAGGCATAATCAAGAAATGCTTTTACTGCTTTGGAGGACAAATTGGTAATGGTAACACTTCCACCATCTCTTTCTTTCATGTTTACTTCAAACATAGCCCTGAAAAAATAAGAACATAGAAGAAGTAAACAGAAATATTCTATTCCATAATAATTTTCACATTACCTTAAAAAGATTTCCTTTATCCTTAATTTAAAATATATTTCAAAAGCACTCTAATAAATTAATATCCAGAACAGTTATGTACAATACTATTTATCTGTGAAACATATGTATTACATAACTCCCATACTGCAAAATATATACATTATACCTGAGCTACAGCAACTAATCCAAAGAAGGCTACACAAAAACATTCAAATTTTGAATACCGATTTGATGTTCTTATATATTATTTATAAAATCAGGGTAAAATCACTCTAATGGCTGGATTTATTTATTTATGGGTTAATTAGTATCAACTTTGCAGGTGTTAACCAAAATTGCTTAAGATATGTAATGTGTCTACGTTTAGTATTTCAAAGTCTCTTTCAAATGAAGTTTCAATTTGGCAGTAGTGAGACCAGTGAAAGATGAACTACAGTGAGATATCAGATGTCTCTAATGCATCTGTCTGTGTAGGGAAATTCACCAAATTAGATAAACACACAGCTAGAAGTACACAGTTTGTATTGTACTTTAGAATAAAGGAAATGTGATTTTATAAAACTAAACAATGGTGGACTGTGGCTAAAGTCACATAGCTAATAAATGGTAGAGCTGGGATTTAGATTTAGGGCATGTGCAGTAAGATGCCAAGTACTTCACCATTATACTATACAGAGGTGACATAGGATAAGGGAGCAGAAAAGAATTACTTGGAAGAAAAACTGAATTAGAATAGAGGGGAAGAAAATGGTAGAACCTCAGAGGGATGGAGCATAAGAACAGTAAGGACTCCAGTGAAATATGAGTAGAACTGAAGTTACCTGAGAGAAGAAGTGAAAAAAATAGATGAAAACATACAGTGTAGTTAGGTAAACAGCTAATAAAAGTTGCATTTTTATCTTAAATCTTACTGTATTTTTATTGTTTGTTTATCAGAGAGTTAAACCCTGCTTACTTCAAATAAAAATTGCTTATAAAATTGAACATAATGCAAAATACTGCAATGAGGACTTAAGTTTACTGCAGTATGACTAAGAGGGCTGAAATTCAGGATGTCACCAACAGGTTGTGTGTCTGACCAAGAAGCCTCACAGGGTAGGTCATTTGTTGACCCTAAACCTTACAGAATCAAAAAGCCAATGTCAAAACAGTGGGTTCTGCCCTGGCCAGTTTGGCTCAGCCGTTAGAGCGACGGCCTGCGGGCCAGAGAGACCTGGGTTCGGTTCCCGCTAAGGGCACATACCTCGGTTGCAGTTTGTCCCCGGCCCTGGTTGGGTTGTGCAGGAGGCAGCCACTCGATATGTCCCTTTCACGTTGATGTTTCTCTCTCTCTCTGTCCCTCCCTCCCTCCCTCTCACTCTATCTGAACAAAAAATGGAAAATGTCCTTGGGTGAGGATTAAAAAAAACAAAAACAGTGGGTTCTTAACAGTGTCTTCACCAGGACACTCCTTGTAAGGTGATATACATGGGGAACCTACTAATATTCAGAAGGTACCTAAAATTAGAACAAGCTGGGTGTGCTCCAGAAATGCTCTGGAGGTACTTTCCCCTAGTAAAGGAAGGCCTTTGCCAGAGAGGAGAACTCTTTAAATAATCCGGGTTAGAGTCCCTGTCCTCCAGATAAAGCACTGACACAATACAGGACTGAAATGGGTTTCCTCTCGCTCCTTTTCTTTGCACTTGCTTCCACTTTGGATGAATCTGTCCTTTCCTCTTTTCCTAAAGGACACAGTGCAGGGACTCCTCAAATAAAACTGACCCCAGATCAAAACTTTTCCCTTGTACATTTTAAGGGACTAATGTTCTATAAAACTTTCAGAAATGCTGGCCTTTGAAGACCTGAGCTTTACAAAAGATAGTCTTATATTTTTATATAAAATAATCATTAGTTAACCTAGGTTCTAATTAGCACTTTTCAAGAATTAAAAAGTACTGTTGCATGCTCCTGTGGGTGGAAAAGTGAGTAGAGTTAAAAAAAAAACAAAACTTAATTATCTATGTCATAAAATTGGAGGCATAAAGAAGATAAAGTACCTGAAAAAGTCACTGCATGCAGCTAACACACAACGATGACATGGGATTATTTCATCTTTCATGATTATTTTGAAATCATAAAAGATATTTTGTTCTCTAAAATTCTGTAGTACACTTAAGATTTTCTGTCCATGATCTTCTGACACAACGAAGTTGTTTATCTTCTCAGACGGAATTCCATTACATGAGCGTCCTTGACTGAAATCATATGAATTATCCATAGCCAATTTCTATCTGTTCTTAGAACTGAAAAAAAAAAAAAAATCACTGAAGTAGAGTCCTAATAAAATTTGCCCTCTTTGTTATCAATTACAAAAAATGCTCACTAAGAACAACCATAAGGTAGTAAATCTTGTTCTAAACATTTGTTTTCATGACATTTAAAAATAAATTCCTTTTAAATATTTATAACTATTGTGCTCAGTGGAATAAAATGTATATTATTAAGAGATAAAGTCCAAGGCTATATAAATTTAAGTAGCACAATTTACAAGTTGTATAAATAGCTTACATAGGCTCTCACTACATGACTTATCTTGTTATATATAAGAGCTATTGCTTATATAATAGCTATCATTTGGGTATGTACCCAACACATCCCTCTCCCCACCTATTCATTTTCTTCTGGTAACAAAGCAGATGTTAAAATGTTGACTGTGAAGAATTGCTATGTGCCTTTTTGACCCAAAAAGACACACAGCAATTGATTGAGCCCTGGCTGATTTTGCTCAGTGGTTAGAGCATCAGGCCTAACCAATGAGTCTCGGGTTCGATTCCCATCAAGGGCACGTACCTCAATCGGTTGTAGTTCATCCCTGGCCCTGGTGGGGGTCACATGGGAAGCAACCAGTAAATATGCCCCTCTCACATGGATGTTTCTGTCTCTCTTTCCCTCCCTCCCACTCTATCTGAAGATAAATAGAAAAAATCCTCGGGTGAGTAATAAAATAAATAAATAAATGAATAAAAATAATAGAAAAGACAAATGATTGAAGAAAAAAGTCAGTGTTAGATTATATTAACTATTGATGGCCTTTACTAAGGACGAAAAAGGCAAGTATTGATCCATGTTGAACTATTTGAAAGCAGAAAGAAACAGAAAATAATTTATTTAATGGCCTTTTAAACACAAGGTCAGAAATCCCAGATAGGATTTCAATGAAAGGCCAGGTCACTGTGACTTTCCCAAACTGCAATATTAGTTCTAAGCATGAAAGTTTACACCACCAAAAGTAAGGAAGTGTGAAACAAGAAGGAAAGACGACTAGGAACTAGAAGAGCCAGAAAAATAGGGAATCTTGATTCCTTAGTATATTTCTGTTTTGGTAAACTACTGCTTTGCAAATCACCCTAAAATTTAGTGGCTTAAGGCAACAATTTATAATCTCTCAGGGATCTGTGGGATTAGCTGAAGCTTCTTGCTTGGAGACTTTCATATGGTTAGAGTCAGACGGCAGCTATGGCTGAAATCATCTGAAGGCTTGCCTAGGTTTGAAGTCCAATATGGTTTCTTCATTCACATTTCTGATGTGCAAATGGACTGCTAGAACAAATGGGGCGTTCTCTGACTTGCTTCATGTGGCTAGCTCATACTTCCTCACATGTGGCAGTCTTATGGTATGTGGACTTCTTACATGGTGGTTGGTTCACCCAGAGTGGGTGTTTCAAGCCTAGGTGGAAACCAGACACTAGAGAAGTAGTCTGAATGATCCTACAGCTTCAATCAGAACAGACAATCTACTGCTGCGGACAATAACCATGAGCCATGTAGAGCTATTTAAATTTAATTTACTTAAAATTAAATAAAATTTAGCCCTGGCCAGTTTGGCTCAGCAGTACAGTGTCTGTAAGTGGGGAGACATATTAAGAATGAAAGTGAGTGTCATGGAGCTAAAGATACAATGGGAGGTTTGGGGGCAGTTCTGAACTGGGTGTTACTCCTGGTCTGTTTCTCAAGTGTAGCAATAGGCTGGTGCATCAATCTTTACAGCAATGTAGGGTCTTCTCTCCATGGCCTGCCTCAAGGAACCACAGAACTGGTTGGGAGACTCAGTCTTTACACTCACCCAAGTTGGAAAAAGTAAAATGGAGGGCCTAGAATCCCACCTTGCTAGGGTGTAATAAGGTGCCTCAACTCTCTCCCCATACTCCCACTGGAGTAATATCAGAGAAGGCTGAGTAGAGAGCCAGGACATTAATCTCTACAGTGTGATAACAGTATCCATCAACCATCTCCCCTCACCATAAACAGAGATCACGTGGCACATGGGGAGCCTAGACTTCTACTCCCACCTGGTACTAACATGGCATTCTTCCCTCTTTTTGCTGGGGTAGAGTCAAAGGCCCGGTGTAGGCTCAAGAATTTCACTACCACTCAGCAGCAACAAGCCACACTCACAGGATGTCAGTGGAGACCACATGAGGAGCAGTAACAAGGTATCCCTCTTCCTCCTAGCCAGAGTGGTATCAGAGGATGCCTGAACTCCCAACTCTATCTAGCCGTACAAAGGAGTCCTCCTACTACAGGAGTCAACAAAAGTGAGGTAGAAAATCTGGACTTCTACCCCAACCTGGAAGTAATGAGATGGTGACCTTAAGAGTAGTGTCACAAAAGATCTGCTAAAATGCAAAATTTAAGTTCTAGAGTCTTACAACACAATATTGTATATATTCAAGAACCAGGAATACATCAAATTGAATGAGAAAAAAACAATCAACAGATACCAACACTGAGATGATACAGATGTTAGAATTATCTGCCAAGAATGTTAAAACAGTCATCACAGAAATGCTTCAATGAGCAATCATAAATATGAAGCAAATGAAAAAATAGAAAATCTCAGTAAAGTAAAAGGAGATATAAAAAAAGAACCAAATGGCCCTGGCTGGTTTGGCTCAGCAGCTGGAATGTCAGCCCATGGACCAAAGAGTCGCAGGTTCAATTCCAGTCAAGGGCACGTATCTCGGTTGCAGATGTGTCCCTCTCATGTCGATGTTTTTCTCTCTCTCTCTCTCCTTCCCTCCCATTCTATCTGCAGATAAATGGAAAAATATCCTCAGGTGAGGATGGAAATAAATAAATAAATAAATAAATAAATAAATAAATAAATAAATAAAATAAAATAAAATAAAATAAAATAGAACCAAATGAAATCTTAGAAAAAATACGATAACCAAATATAATGGTGAAGGGGGTGGGGGTGGGGTCAATGAGCTTGAAGAAAACATCACAGAAACTACACAATTTGAACACTGTTTAACACAACAAAAACAGACTAAAAATAGAAAAATCATATTGAAAAACCAATGAACAACTTGAAGAACATGTGAGACTGTAATAAGAAAAAAACAAAAAAACAAAAACCCATGTCATCAAAGTGCCACAAGGAAAGGAAAAAGAGTGGGACTAAAAAAGTACTTGAAGAAATAATGACTGAAAGTGTCCAAAATTTGGCAGAAAACATACACCTACAGATTTAGGAACCTGAGTGAAGCCCAAACAAGATAAATCTAAAAAAAATCTATGCCAAGGAACATCACAATCAAACTTTTAAAACCTAAAGACAAAAAAAATCTTGCAAGCAGTGAGCGAGAAAGACCTCATCTATAATAGAAAATCAATTTGAATGACTGTGAATTTATCATGAAAAAATATGGAGGGCAGAGGAAGTGCATAACATTTTTCAAGTGCTGAAAGATAAGAATTGTCAATCCAGAATTCTATATCCATCAAAAATATCCTTTGGGAATGTAAGAGAAATCAAGATAATGAAATGAGGGAAAAATAAGAGAATTTCTTATGAGCACACCTACTCTAAAAAGGTGGATAAGAAAGTGCTCTAACCAGCAGTTTAACAATAAAAATAATCTTATCAAGAAGAAAAAAAAAAATAGAGTAGGAACAATAATATGGTTAAATACAACAGGCTTTGTATCTCTTCTTGCATTTTCTAAATTATATTTGATGACTGAAACAAAAATTACAGGACTGCCTAATGTACATATCAATATATACAAAGAAATTACTTAAAACAACAATATAATGTGAATATGAGGGAGAGTAAAGGGAAGTAAAAAAATCATAAAGTTCCTACACTATATTTAAACTTTTAAAATGTTTACACTAGTATTGTCATAAAATGTTATATATACACCAACACATATGTAATATGTATTCTACATAAATGATTTAATACCTAGAACTACTACTAAAAAATCTATACAAAAAGATACACTCATAGTCACTACAGTTGAATCAAAATGGAACTTTAAAAATGGATCATCTAACCCACAGAAAAGCAGGAAAAAAAAAGAAATGAAAAACAGAGACTAAATGGAAAACAACCGAAAAGCAGACTTAAGTACTAACATTTCAATAACTGCAATAGGTGTAAATCAATAAGTGTAAATGATCTATATACACCAATTAAAAGAGAGACTAGCAAACTAGATTTTTAAAAAAGACCCACCCTTACACTTCCTACAAGCAACTCACTTGAAATAGAATTATATGAGTAGGTTGAAAGGAAAAGGATGGGAAAAGATAAACTCTTCAGGCATTTATTATAAGAAAACAGGTGTGGCTATATTAATATCAGATCAAGTAGACTTCACCAAGGAAAACTGTCAGACAGAAAGTAATATTACATCATGTCAATCCACCAAGAAGAAAACCTAAATGTGTATGTATTAAACAAAAGAGCTGTAAAATATGTGAAGCAAAAACTGATAGAATTGAAAAGAATAATAGACAAATATACTATTATAGCTGGAAATATTAATACCTCTCTAAAATTAATAAAGAAGACACCGAATTAACAGTGATATAGAACTCAACAATACTATCAACCAACAGAATCTAAACAACATTTATAGAAACGCCACCAAACAAACAAATTCACATTATTTTCAAGTGGCCATGGAATATATACCAAGATTGACCATATCTTGACCCACAAAACAAACCTCAAATAATTTAAAAGAACCGAAATCACATAGACTTTGTTCTCTGACCACAAGGGAATCAAACTAGAAATAAGAAAAAAGATAACATATAAACATCCACACTCAGAACCTAAAAAACATACTTCCAATTAATCCATGAGTCACAGGAAGTATTAAGGGAAATTAAAAAAATGCATTAAACTGAATAAAAATGAAAATACAATATATAAAAATGTATGTGATGTAGCTAAAAAGAGAAAAATTCATAGCATTAAGCACTTAACATTAGAAAATAAAGGTCTCAAATCAATAATCTAAGTGCCCAACTCAATAAACTAGAAAAAAGAAAAAAAACCCACAGCAAATTAAACTCAACGTAGGCAGAAGGAAATGATAAAGAATAGAAATCTATAAAATTGAAAATAGAAAACTGCACAGAAAATCAATGAAACAGAGCGTATACTTTGAATAGTTCAATAAAATAGATAAACCTTGAGCAAAGAATAGAAGACAAAGAATAGAAGAGAGAAGACACAAATTACTAATATAAGAAATGAAACAGGGGATCACCACAGACTGTGAGACATCAAAAGGATAAGGGAATACTATAAACAACTCTACACATAATGATTTGATAGTGCAGATGAAACAGACTAATTCCTCAAAAAACACACATTACCACAACTCACTCAAGATGAAATATAAAATCTGAACAGCCCTGTAACTATTAAGGAAGTTAAATTTACCAAAAGTTTAAAGAAGCATTAATACAGAATCTATCTAATTTCTTCCAGAATACAGGATAGAAGAAAATACTTCCCAACTAATTTCATGAAGTCAGTATTACTGTGGTACTCCAAAGACAGTCAGTACAATAAACTCTCCCAAACCACAGAACAATATCCCTCACTAACACAGATGTAAAATTATTTTTAAAAATTAGCAAAAGTAATTCAGCAATATATAAAAGGAATTACCTACTATGACCAAGAAGGTTTATCCAGGTCAATTTTCAAATATCAATCAATGTTATCCACCACTGAAGCAAGCTATAAAAGAAAAAGTACATGATATCATTTGACACAGTACAGTTATATAGCACTTAACAATAAGGATACGTTTGGAGAAACAAGTCATTAGGTGATCTTTTCACTGTGCAAACATCATAGTGTGTACTTACATAAACTCAGATGGTATAGTCTTCTAAACACCTATGCTATATGGTATACCACTGTCATATATGTGTCAGTTGCTGACTGAAATGTGATTATGTGCTGCATGACTTGAAAGCATTTAAATACCTGACACCTATTCATGAGAAAAACTCTCAGCAAATAAGGAACAGAGAACGTCCTCAACTTGATCAAGGATATCTTAAAAAAACCTATAGCTAACATTATACTAAATGGTAAGAGACTGAATGCTTTTGCTCTAGATGAGGAAAATGGCAAGCATGTCCACTCTTACCACTGCTATTCATTATAGTACTAGAAGCTTTAGTCAACGCTCCAAGGCAAGAAAATTCTATAAAAAGGCATATACATTGGAAAGGAAGAAACATGTCCCTATATATTGATGACAAAATTGTCTATATAGAAAATCCCAGGTACTCTATAAAAAAAAATTCATAAAACTAATAAGTTAGTTCAGCAATACCACAGGATATAAAATTAACACACAATACCCAATTGTTTTTCTCTAAACTAGTCATGAACACATGGAAACCAAAATTTAAAATGTCAAACCATTTATAATAGATAAAAGAGAGACATACTTATGTATAAATCTAACAAAATGTGTACCTCTCTTGTATACTGAAAACTACAAAATGCTGACCAAAAAAGTCAAAGAAATCTAATTAATGGAAAGATAAACCATGTTAATGAATTAGAAAAATCAACCTAGTAAAAATGTCAATTCTCTCCACAGCAGTATACAGGTTTAATATAATTTGTATCAAAATCCCAGCAAGATTTTTTTGTAGAGATATGTAAGACTAGTCTAAAACTTATATAGAACAAGAAAACTAGACTACCTAACACAATCTGAAAAATAATAATGTGAGAAGAATCAGTCTACTTGATTTTAAGACTAATACAGCTACAGTAATTAAGACTGATATTGATAGATCACATTGATCAGTGGAACAGAACAAATAATTAAGAAGTAGCCCCCTAACTTCTGGTCAAGATGGAGGAGTAGGTAAACGGGTATCGCGTCCTCCCACAACCACATCAAAGGTACAACTAAACTACAGAACAACCATCATTCAAAACTGCCTGAAATCAAGCTGAATGGAAGTCCTAAAACTATGGAATTAAAGCAGCAGCCACATCCAGACTGGTAGGAGGGGCAGAGGCGCGGCTGCTGCGGCGGCGGCTGGTTCCACACCCAAGTGTGGTGGATAAAAATCAGGAGGCTCCCGCGGCTGGGAAGGTCCTTCCTGAGGGGTCCCCGTCCCACACCAGGTGCCCCGCTCAGGGTTCCAGTGCCAGGAAGAGAAGTCCCCATAACCTCTGGCTGGAAAAACCAGCGGGAACTGAGGCTCAGGGAAGCTGAAGCGGCTGGAGCCCCAGGCAGCTCCTTAAAGGGCCCGTGCAGAAACTTATCGGACTCTCTCCCTCTAAGTTTGGAGGGGTGGCAGCTCCAAGGGCACCAGAGTCATACAGGGAAGAACTGAGCTGTTTGGCACTGGAGCAAGGGCTGGAGAAAGGGCTTTCTCTTGGATAAACGTGCTGTCAGAAGCCTTTGTTCCTTTGGTGAGCCCTTCCCGGGGGCAGCAGACAGTCGCCATATCTGGGACTCCAGCAACCTGGCTCACACTGGTAGCCCCGCCCTGCTGACTCCCTGAGGCCCTGCCCCGCCCCACACAACTTTCAAGCCCACCCAAGCTGTTGCCACTTGCTTAACCTTAGGATTGGCCTGTCTTGGATCCTGTTTCAGGTTTTTCCTAAATTCTTTCAAACGAGCAGCATCTGGTCTCAGCGAGCCCCATACCTCTCATTAAGTAATACACTGAAACAAACACAGGGAGGCAGCCAAAATGAGGAGACAAAGAAACAGGTCCCAAATGAAAGAACAGAACAAAACCCCAATAAAAGAACTAAGCGAAATGGAGATAAGCAACCTAACAGATACTGAGTTCAAAATACTGCTTATACGGATGCTCAATGAACTTAGTGAGAACCTCAGTGAACTTAGGGAGGGCCTCAAGAGCATAAAAAAGGACCAGTCAGAAATCATGGATACACAGTTAGAATTGAAGGAGGCATTAACTGAAATAAAGAATAATTTACACAGCTTCAATAATAGAGTACGTAAATCCAAGGAGCAAACCATCGATTTGGAATATAAGAAAGCAAAAAATGCCCAATCAGAACAGCAAAAAGAAAAAAGAATCCAAAAAAATGAGGATAGTGTAAGGAGCCTCTGGGACAACTTCAAGCGTGCCAACATTCGCATCTTGGGGGTGCCAGAAGGAGAAGAGCGAGAACAAGAAATCGAAAACCTGTTTGAAACAATAATGGCAGAAAACTTCCCTAACTTGGTGAAGGAAACAGACATACAAATGTAGGAAGCACAGAGAATCCCAACCAAGATGAACCCCAAGAGGCCCACACCAAGACACATCATCATCAAAATGCAAAAGGTTCAAGACAAAGAGAGAATCTTAAAAGCAGCAAGAGAAAGGCAGCTAGTTACCTACAAGGGAGTTCCCATAAGGCTGTCAGCTGATTTCTCAAAAGAAACTTTGCAGACCAGAAGGGAGTGGCAAGAAATATTCAGAGTGATGAAAAGCAAGAACTACAACCAAGATTACTCTATCCTGCAAAGCTGTCATTTAGAATCGATGGACATATAAAAACTTTCCCAGACAGGAAAAAGTTAAAGGAGTTCATCACCACCAAACTGTTAATGTATGAAATGATGAAGGGTCTTTTTGAAGAAAAAGATAAAATATATGAGCAAACAAAATGGCAATGAATACATATCTATCAACAATGGAATCTACAAACAAAATGAACAGGTAGAACAGAAACATTCTCATAGATACAGAGAACATTTTGTTGGTTGCCAGATGGGAGGGGGGTTGGGGGAATGGGTGAAAAAGGTGAAGAGATTAAGAAGTACAAATTCATTGCTAGACTGACAAACCTCAAAGGGAAAGGGGTTGGGGGGGTGGGAAGAAATAAACCAAAGAACTTATATGCATAACCAAAGGACACAGACAATAGTGTGGGAAAAGGTGGGAGGGGGGCGGGAGTGGGGAGGAGGGGGTCAATGGGGGGAAAATGTGGAACATCTGTAATACATTTTACATCCAACAATAAAGATTAAAAAAAAAAAAGAAGATGTAGCCCCAACTGATTTTTTACCACAGCCCAATAACAATTCAATAGAATAAAGATATATATTTAACAGCCCAGCTGGTGTGGCTTACTGGTTGAGCATCGGCCCCATGCACCAAGAGGTTGCTGGTTCGATTCCCCATCAGGGCACATGACCAGGTTGTGGGGCCTGATCCCCAGTGGGGCGCATGAAGGAGGCGGCCAATTGATGTTCTCTCTCACTGATGTTTCTATCTCTCTCTCCCTCTCCCTTCCTCTCTCTCTATAATCAATAAAGAAAAAAAAATTTTAACAGATATATATTTAACAAATAATGTTGAAGCAAAGGGATGTTCACTGGTAAAAAAAAAAAAAATCAACTCAAAATGAATCATAGATTTCAATGTAAAACTTTAAAAGTTTTAGAATATAAGAGAAAAATCTTTGTAACCAGGAGTAAGTCAATGAGTTCTTAGATATGACATTAAAAGCACAAGCCATAAAACAAAAGAGAAAAATTGATAAACTAAACTTTTTTCTAAACTAATAACTTTCCCTCTGTGAAGCACCGCATCAAGAGGGTGAAAAGAGAAGCTATGGGCTGGAAGAAACTATCTACAAACAATTTCTGATAAAGAATTCATATTTAGAATATATAAAAACTCAAATCTCACCAGGGAATAAAAAGAACACAAAACAATCCACCTTAAAAATGGGCAAAAGGCAGGAAGAAATATTTAATCAAAGAGAATAAAAGATGGCAAATATGCACATGAAGAGACATTCGATATAATTAGTCATTATAGAAAACGCAAAATTAAGACCACAATGAAATATCTATCAGAATGGCTCATATAAAAAATAGTGATAACACCAAATACTTAAGGATGTAGAGACACTGGATCACTCATACATTGCTGGTGGAAATTACTTGACAGTTTCTTAAAAATCTGAACATAAGACAGTGATCCCATCTGGCCAGGAAACCCGATGTACAATTTTGCCTGATTCGAGACCCCAAACAATGAACCTTGCTGGCTTGGGAGACAGTTATGCTGCCCACTCAGGCACAGAAGCTAATCCTTAGCCCTATCTACTGCTGAGTGCAGCCCCTAGTCCCACCCCATCAAGAAACCTGTCCAAAGCACCCGGGAAACTAAGTAGTCCAGCAGTACTTAAGCAGGGCACCTGGCCAGCAACTCTGCCCAGCTGCAAAGCCCAGCTGGTGATCTCATATGGCCAGGGAGCTTGGTGCACAGTTTTGTCTTGTTCAGGTTTCTTAGCCAGCAAGCCCTATGGGCTGTGGAATCTGTTACACAGACCCATCCAGGCTCGGGAATCATATTCAAAGTCCTCCATAAGGCTAAATACAGCTTCCAGGACTACCAAACCAGGAAGCCTAACCAGAATACCCGCAAAGCTGCATAGCCCAACCTACAGTTCTGTGTACAGCAGCACTGGAGCAGAGAGCCAAGCCAACATGACACGACCAAAGGAAAGTAACAAAACTCCAATAACTAACCCTAAAGAAATGGAGATTTACTAATTGTCTGCAAAGAATTACAGAAATTTATTGAACTACAATAAAAGACATATAATTAAATAGAATGAGGAAAACAATGCATGAACAAACAAAAAGTTCAACAAAGAAATAGAGACCATAAAAATACCCAGACATTTTAAAGTTGAAATATACAATGACTGGCCTGAAGAATTCATTG